CTGATATTACCAATAGTAACCACTATTGGTAATTGAAGATAACCGGTATCTGATATTACTTGACAACCAAACATGGTAATCAAGTAAAATAAGATGACATTATCCCAGTAATCTCATTTAACCCCCAACCAAACGCTCCCTAAGAGCTTTACAATCCAAAACTTCCAGCTAAATCAATCCCTTTCCCCTCCTAAATTTCCGACTATACAAAAACTTAGTTTCATCTTGCAGCTAAAGCTTCCTTCCAGTTTTATATCTGATATAAAGATAGGCGTTTTCCCCGGTTTTCCAAGGCCCCGCCCTGCCCCATACTGGGCAAGGATTCCACGAAAAATCAAGGACGGGGAGTCAAACTCAAGAACCACAAAATTCCCTGTCCTTGGGGACGGGGATGGAAGTCTCCCCACCCCAGGTCCAGTAAATTACTATACTGCTCTTGATATATTTAAATAACTACAAAATGCCCTCCGTATATATATCCACTTTTTCCACACAACCCACCCTGAACATTTTCCACCGCTCAAGTCTCCTCTCTACACCCACAGCCAACATCGTCACGCCACTCAAGTGTCCACAGCCATAGCCGACGCTGCTCAAGTCTCCACAGCAGCCAAGGATAAATAGAAAACACTTTTAATAACAATTTATATTTTGTTGGCTTGTTTATAGGACAGTGGACAGATGGGAGTAAAAGGCTCAAATTTTATTATAATTTTGTTACATGCAAAATACAGGTTTCAGATGTCAGTGGGATAATTACATGTAAAATACAGGTTTCAGATGTTAGTGGGACGCCCGTACGCGGGGAATGAGATGAGGAAAAATCCCCGTTGTCCTGGTTCCCCACCCCGCGCCCATCTCTAATTAGTCCATCTTCCAATTTTGATACCATCTACAAATTCTTTTAAAAGAATCGATAAAAATGCTGAATGCTGAAGTGGGATGATTATATTTTTCATGAAGCATACCACAAAGTGGGCTTATCCAGGCACCTTTGAAGCGACAATTCAAGAAAAATCGATGATCCAACAACAGAATCGAGGATATCACGGATTTTGAAATGAACCTGGAGGTCAGAAGCAATTCCTTTAGAACTCAGAAACGATCTACTTGCTACAATTATAAACACAGAATCATTTACTTCAAGATCTGAAGCTAAAAATTGGGATATGAGTTTAGGTCTACCTCATGAACACCCCACAAGCTTCCTCCTTCAAGACCCATACCACAGCTTTTGAGATCTGGACTCCGATAACACTACATAAACGTCTCATTGAGAATCCAGCTTTTTTGAACTGTCCTAAAATGTCATAATTCAATTGTTATAGGATTCTCATGAACAAACATTTCAGACATTAAAAGCTCCAAAAATCCATAAAGTTCAGCTGATTGAGAGTGTGTTCTGTCTTCAGAATAGAACGAATGTATTTGATGTCTCACTTCAACCCAACTACATCCTCCACTCTTCTTCAGTCCTTTCTTCTTCATTAACTTCCTTATATTCATAACATCGGTCCATCTGCCAGCTGAAGCATAAATATTTGACAACAAGACATATCCTTCTGGGTTTTTGTCCGTCTGTTCCCAAAGCTTTTTAGCTGTCCTCTCAGCTATCTCCTCGTTTTTATAAATCTTACAACCACTTAAAAGAGCTGCCCATGAATTGGATTCAGGTTGAAATGGCATTGAGTTAATAAAATTTTCAGCTTCAGAGAGGCGTCCTGACCGAGATAGCATATCTACCACACAAGTATAGTGCCTTCCCCTTGGCTTTATATGATAAATAGTCTCCATTGAGTTAAAGTATTGAAGTCCTTTGTCAACTAAACCAGAATGAGAACAAGCAAACAGAACTGATGATAGCATGAGCTCATTTGGAGCAACCGATGTTTTCTCCATTTCCTCGAACAAAATAAGAGCTTCCTCTGCAAAACCACTTTCTGCAAGTCCTTGAATCATCACAGTCCAAGTGATTTCATTCTTTTCGGACATTCCATCAAACACCAGCTTAGAGCTCTCAATATCCCCAGATTTTGCATACATATCAGTAAGTGCAGTTCCTACAAAAACATCATACTGAAGCCCAAGTTTAACAACTTTTCCGTGAAGGTCCTTCCCTTTTTCTAATGAGGCCATGCACGCAGAAGCACAAAGCACACTTGAGAAAGTGGACTTATTCGGAATTTCACCTGACAAAAGCATCTCATTAAACATTTCAAACACCTTATCAAATTGTTTATGTTCTAAATAACCAGAAATTATGGCACTCCAAGAGATATTATTTCGCGTGGGCATATAATCAAACAACTCCTTGGCTTCTTTCATTTGGCCATTCAGACTGTAACCACTAATCATGGAATTCCATGAAACCACAGTTTTTGCCACGATCCAGTCAAACACTAATCGTCCATCTTTAGTCTCGCCACATTTACTGTACAAGTCAATAAGAGAGCTACAAATGAAAACATCACCATCAATTCCAATTTTCACTACATGGGCATGTATGTTCATTCCTGGTTGCAAAGCCTTAAAACTAGCCAAAGCACAAAGAATGGTAGCGAAACACGAGGTATTTGGTTTAAAAGCATCTTGAACCATTTGGCGAAAGAGTTTCAAAGCCTCTTCAGGATAGCCACTCTGATTATATCTGGCAATCATAGCACTCCAAGAAACTTCATTTCTTTCTGGCATCTCATTAAAGATTTTACGCGCTTCTCCCAAGTCTCCCATCTCAACATACATATCTAGTGTCGCAGTCCAAGAAATAACATCTCTCTTCTCCATCTGATCAAATACTTTCCTACCCAAATCAATTTCACCCATCTTCACACATAAACTAATCAAAGAATTTGAAACTGATATATTCCCTTCAAATCCAGCCTTAAGAATTAACCCAAAAAAACTCATGCCCAACCGAAAATCACCAAACACTGTACAAGCTCTAACTATAGAAGTAAAAGTAACCGCATTCGGATTAACTCCAGATTCAAGCAGCTTCAAGAAAAGCTTCAAAGCTTCAAAACTATACCCGTTTTGAACAAACCCACTAATAGCTGCAGTCCAAGAAACCACATTCTGAAATGGGTTCCTATCAAAGTACCAAATTGATTCTTCAACTCGTCCATGTCTCATAAAACCAGAAATCAAAGCCGTCCACGAAACCTCATTTCTTTCAGGCATTTCATCGAACAACCTTTGAGCTTGCTCAAGATTTCCCCATTGAATATTAGCATTAATCAAACAGTTATGCACAACAATATCAAAACCGTTAAACTCCTTTACAACCCCGTTAGCTTCATGAGTTTTTCTACTGTTGAGGTACATCAGCAGCAGCTTAATAGCCACAAATCTCTCTTTAAAAATCCCCGTTTTGAGTACATGAGCATGAATGGCACTTCCTTGAGTGACCAAGTTGTGGTTTGTGAAGTTCTTTAGGAGGGAAATGCATGTTTGTAGGTAAGAATTGAAATTTGTTTTTGTGCTAGTAGTGAAGAGAGCTTTCAAAGCATTTTTCATCTTCCAAGAGTAGTTTAGTCAGTTGATGTGGCCCAATCGTCCCACAATCGCGGTAGTTTTGAGGGAACAAATAGGACACGTCGTTGGTAATATGGAATGATGGATGGCGTGCCGTTTCCTGATAAACGACGTGGTGAATTTTAAAAACTATTTACGGGTGAAGAACATTTTAGTCCCTGTAATTTTGGTGGTCTACTAGTCAATGACACGTTTTTTTTTTCATGAACAAAATCATCCTTTAATTTGAAAAACATTATGTAAGGCTAACGACTCAAGGGCATATTTGACTTTCTCATAAGTATTTAAACCTTTCATGTTTTAAAATAAAAGGCCATTTTTTTGGGATAAATGGACTAGGGAATGCGAGCCTTATTCCCAATCCCATAAAAGTGGCATAAAGAATACTATAGTAGCATTCCTTCCAATTTACCCTTTTTTTAAATTGCAATTTCCCATTTACCCCTAAATCAATATATTTAAATTTAAATTATTTTGATAAAATATTTATTATTAAATTTCATTGTTTATCACCTATCGGTGGCGCTGTCGCACTGGTACTATTGTCGTTGTTGGTACTGCTACTAGTAGTGTTGTCATCCCTATCCAGCTAACGTGCATGAACTCGTTGGGAGGACTATAAGAGGCCAGGATCTGTCCAATTAGACAGATTGGCGATCTCTGATTCTCCACAAGTCAACAATGACATAGGCAATGTGGCAGAAATTCACCGACTGACATTGATTGGCTTATATATTTTTGAAATATTGGTGCTTTTATTTAGTTATTTTTGAATAGTATTTTTGAAATATTATTGTAAAGTTGAGTTGAGTTGAGTTGAGTTATTATTTCGAGAATATGATTTGGAAAAAATGTGTTTGGTATAATATTTAGTGGGGTTATTATTACGAGAATATGATTTGATGTTTGATAAAGTATTTAGGATAGCATATTAGAGTTGAATAAATTGTAGAAACTGGTGGCGGATCTCGAGTTTTGGGTGTCGATGGTAGCGCTCAAAACTGGTGGCTTGGGGTTGGAGGAAGGTGGCCCAAGGTGGTTCGAAGAACTCAAAAATGATGTCAGTGATCATGGTCGTACCTGCTAGGCTCAGTTTGTCGGAGGAAACCGAAAGATGGTGGTGTTTCTTAAGTCTTAGGTAGTGGAAGAAGGTGTTTTTGGGTGGTGTTTTTGAATGCAGGTGGAAGAGGGTGTTATGGTGGTTGTGACGTGGAAGAGGGTGGCAATCACTGGTTCTGATCTTTGAAGAACAAGATGGAAGCTGTGGAATATGAAGATGGAAGCCCTAGATAAACTAAAGAAGAAGGAAAAAAAAGAAGGAAGAAGGAAAAAAAAATAATAATAAACTGCAGCGCCGCCTAAATCAGATTAGTCAGGAATCAAATTTTCAAAATTTTATTCCTTGAATAATGTGTTAAACGCGTATTTTAAAAATCTGACTAAACAAATTAAATAGAATGTTGAACCAAACACGCCAGATTTTAGAATTTTGAACTTTTACATTTAAACAAAAAATAAAAATGCATATTTATTAAATAAAATGTATATTTATTCAATAGAATTTATATTTATTAAATAAAATAAATCAAGGGTATTTTTGTCCAAAAACAACAAATTATTTTCGATTCCATCAACATTCTTAATTACAAGCAAACAAGGTAATAGTATTCTTTTCATCCCATTGATTATCATTTCATTAATTCCTAATATACAAATGTAAACGTAAAAATCTACCTGTACGGAAGGAGGGACTGATCCCTTGAGGTTGAGGCCACTAGCGATCTACTGTACCTGCACATGTAGAGAAACAAACGTGAAGCAACGGAAAACACCAGGGGGGTGTTTGCCATAGGCACTCCGACGCTCAAGTCAGCAAGGCTAAAAGAGGCTAATTTAGTAAGGGCTATGGAGTAGAGAGGTTACCAGAAGTCTAGTCGGGGACTGTGACTTCGGCTGCAATGTAAAGTTCTGAAGCGAGAACTCCGGGGTCTGAAGGTGTAATGTCAGGTCCCTTGTGAGAGGGCTGGCTTTTGTTTAAATAGTGACTGTCTGGTCTCCCAATCTTGGTGGGATTGGGAGTTCTCATAGTAATATGTTTCCTCCAGGGATATATTCTTTGGCCATATTATACTAGCATGAAAGGGAGTCCAAGTACGACTCTGACACGGACCTTAGAGGAATTGGGGTGGTAGTGGACTACCTTATCAGTGTTCGAGTAGGAATGTGATCCGTAAGTGACCATGAACTCTAAACTTGACCATCGGCCCAGGAGGTGTACTGGGGTTAGGAGGCCTGGGTCTAGATGGTTTGGACCGATTGTACTTCGTACTGAATGGGCCTTATCTGGGGAGTTCTGGCTTGGGCCGCACCGGGATTGGGCTTGGGCTTGGACTTTTCCTCATTGTCGGGCGCGTTATCCTATTTGGGTCGAGGACATTTTTTGGCCTTAACAATTTATCCCCCACTCTCTGAGTTAAGGTTTGCTTAAGTCAGAGAGTAGGAATCGAACGAGACGTCTCCAGTCGCCCTTCTTGGATGACCGATTGTTGGCGTGACTGATCAGTCGAATGTAGATGACGTGTGGTCGAGTCATTCGGTGTCCTTCACCGAGTCGGATGGTGCAACCAGCTCAAGAGGGTGTAGCCGATTGGTGTGCGGGGCCGAGCAAACTGAGTTCAAGGCGAAACATCTGGTGTACGTGTATCTGCTCGGTGTATCCGGCCGAGTGAAGAAATGGACAAGCTACCTATCACAGGTGTCTTCGATTGGTGTGCCGAGTCGAGTGAGTAAACAAGTCACCAACCAAAGGTGCATTCACTCGATGTGTAAGGCCAACTGAGGGGATGACATCGACTCGACCGGCTGGCTTGACCGAATGGAGGATACTTGGGTAATCCCTCGGGGTTGTCCTTAATAGGTGCCCTTGGGCCGAATGGGTTACACTGGGTCCAACGTTCATGTGGAAGCTCGGGCTGAGCGGTCTGATCCAAGCCATGGGTTGTGCGAATGCTAACAAACCCTTAAGGAACCCGCTCGCTCGATACGGAAGACCGAATAGCCGAGACCTCTCTTTTCTCGCTTGTCTCGAGGCAGAAGGTAGGGTGGACTGTTCCAACCTAGTCGCCCCGACTGGGAGGATCTCATGGACATGTGAAGCATAGAAGTGTGTCGGCTTCGTTGCAGGAGCTGGCGTGTTGCAATGTGCTGGCTTGGTCGGGTAGGAAGGACAGTTCAATGTAACTCGTACGGTTTTGAAATTTGGAGGTGACACAGATCTCTTCCACATGTACGGTGGTGATTTCATTTTTGCTTTGGGCAGGAAAACGAAAAGTTGCTCTGTCCCCTACCCAATAGGGGCTGCCACATGTCCTACCCTGTCAGGATTCGTCCATAAAAAGGAAAGCGCGACTGTTTATCTTCATTTTGGGTTTGTCTCCGGTCCAGTTTGTTTTCTTCTTCGTTTCAAGTTTTCTTCAGCGACGGTGGGTTTTTTTTACAGATTTCGGCCTTTTTCACATTAAACACGCTATTGTCGTGCCGTCTTTTTGTTTCTTTTGTGCTTGTATACGTTTATGTAGAGTTTTTGGGAGATTTGGAGTAGGGTTTGGTTTGGTTTGGTTTGGTTTGGCAAGGGTTAAAGCAGAAAGATTTGGAAATGTGTGTTTTGTTTTTAAAAGGGTTCGATTCCACATTTGGCAAGGGTTAAAACAAAAGATTTGGGAGTTGTGTGTTTTGTTTTTGAAAAAGGTTCAACTCCACAGTTGACGGAGAAAGTAACAGTGTCTTTTGTCAGCGATCGAGTTCTCTGGGAGATTTAGGTAGGGTGGAGGATGAGTCCAAGTTACATACCCTTTCCACTCGGCTCGTCTCGGTCAACCTGACCGAGTCGGTCGCAAGGTTTAGTTGGGGTGTAAATTTGGTATTACAAGGTCGATCGGGTATCCAGATTGGGTGGTCGGAATTTAAGTTGGTGCCTAGTTACCGCTAACTGAGTCGACCGTAGAAGTTGGGGTAAGTATGCTAGGGCAGGCGGTCGGTTGGTCAGTGCGAATGGTGATCTTGGATCAGCAAGTAGGTTGTAAACTATAATAGGTCGATCGGTGGCTAACGGTGAGTAGTGATTAGAGTGTTGGGTCAGTCGGTGGGGAAAGTCGAGCAATGATTAGAGTCTCTACTTTAGGTAATTAGGTCAGTCGGTGGCAAGTGTCGAGTAGTGATCTTGGTTTTAGAAATTAAGCTTGTGGGCTCAAACAGGTTAGTCGGTTGGGAGGAGCAAATAAGCTGTAATGTCTGGATCTGAGTCGAGTGATTCGAGTAGGGCTGGAGCAGATGTTGGGAATGAGTACGAACGTGCCCCGACCATGGTAATGATGCCCGAAGGGGGCATTCCGACGGGTATATCGACCGGTGTGAACGTAGTTACTGATGCGTGTTTCCTACAACATGCAATATGTAGCAAGTATACTAGTCGCACAAATAATATAATGATGAATGAGTATCGTTCCCACAAGGATTGTTGCTAAGCACTAAGTTTTCTACTGTTTTCAAGTTGAAGAAATCGAATTCTTTTGGATTAAAGGGAGCAATTTAAACTATAATTAAAACAAAATTTTAATTAAAATAAACTTAAACTATGAAAGCAGATTTAAAACGGGATAAAATCAATTCAAACAAATGGGTAGGGTTTTGACTTCATTCGGATTCTATGGGTTAAACTTTAAGAATTAATCTAAATTCATATTCTCATGCATTGATTGTAAATCGAACTCTCTAAAGTGTCCAACATACCTTCTCAGGCTATGTTGTCCTACTCTTCCCTATTAACCTTCCGCACCCAACAAAATGAAAGTTAATAAATCTAAGTTCATTAAGCACAAGAATCCTAGATTGATTTCATCGGTTCTTGAATCTATCTCTAGCATCCAATAATACAACGGTGATTACCTAAGAAGCTTAACATGAATTATCTCTCAATCTCATCA